TTGTATTTTAAATAGAGTGTGAAGATGTTCTTCAAAAAAATAAACAATAATTTTAAAGTTGTTTATTATAAAATTTTATTTCTTTATGATCGATCACTGCTCCACAGACGTTATAGGGGAACTGTTCCGTGATCGATCACTGCTCCGAAGACTTCTATGCTTTTTCTGTCAATTCATATTTTAAATGACGTGTAAAGACGTTCTTCAAAAAAATAAACAACAGTTTTAAAGTTGTTCATTTTGAATTTTCATCTCTTTCTATTTTTCCCTTGTTGTTCCATCTCGTCTTAATGCCTTGTTGTTCCAACTTTCGAAAGAAGTGACGGGCTTTCAACGCTCGGGATTTTTACTCTTTCATGCTTTTTCTGTCACTTCGTTCTTTAAATAGCGCGTAGAGATGTTCTTCAAGAAAATGAACAACTTTTTAAAGTTATGTATTTTGAATTATAATCTCCTTTTATGATCGATCACTGCCGCATAGACGTTTTAGGGGAATGGCAACATTCAAGGATGTTGTCATGGCCCCGATACGAGTGATCTCGTCTTAATCCCTTGTTATTCCATTTTTTGAAAAAGGTGACGGATTATTAACGCTTGGGTTTTTTAAAATCTTTTATGCTTTTTCTGTCACTTGTATTGTTTGGTAAAAAATGAAATTGTTGCATAGCACAAACCTTGCTTCGCTTGTGCAACTAAGAAAAAAATTGAGATTTTTTTGTCAACATTACTTCAGTCCGATCATTGTGCTCTGTTTGACTACTGTAATTGAAAAAAAACCCTAGAACTAATTTTGACAAAAAAGTCAATCAACCGTCTTGTTTTGCAGTTCGCATTTTTCAGATTTAAAGTTGAGATGTCCATCCACAACACACTGAAATCCTGGAAATGCAATGTTGTACGTATTCAACTTTTTTCCAGCCTCTGAGGAGTGTGAACTAATTGTAAATTGTCATGGAAAGTCCGAATCATGTTGCTCAGAATAAAGGTAGCATCTTTTGTGAAACACCCCTAAAAAGTCAGATTTGCTGTTACACACACTAAAATTCCCTGCTGAGTTGCTTAAAATTATAACAGATTCTCTTTGTTTCAGAGTGAAAACGTTCGATATGCGTGTCTATGCGTGAGGTTGTAGAAAAAATTGTAGAAAACCACAATTGATGAAAAATCTCCGTTTTGTAGCAGCAATTCAAAAAAACGACAATTCATCGTGAATCAATTTAAAATAAAAATATGAAAATAAATCCTAAAATATATGAACTTGAAGGTTCTTGGAAAAAATGGGCTGTGAACTAAATACAACAGAAGAAATGAGCTTAGGTCCGGGGTGGCCTTCTCACAGAAAAATTTCGGATAGTGTACACCATCTGTTCGTCACGCTATGTATTTCCAGCCGGATAGTTTCGTGCAACACTTTAGCCCAATACAAATCCTGGTCTTACTCTTATCTTTCCTAGTCTCAATAGGTCTAGAGATATACTGGTTTATTGCGAAGTTAGAGGAGAGAAGAAAGTTACTATTTTCAACTCTTGATTTTTCGGTTTGAGGTTTACAGATATAGAGTAAGATTTAGTCATTAAAAATGATTCGTTAGTTAACATAACTAGTTCAAACTGGTTCTAGAGTTGTCTGGCATATACAATTCCTGCTGTAACTATTCTTTAAGTAAATTAGCTTTGAAAAAACTCATGATATCTCAACCAACAAAACTTGTTTTACATGACCACTGTTTAAAAAAAACAGTTTTTGAAGTTATTAGCTTAATTTTTTATTATGAAAAAAAAATTTCTTGTTATTAAAAAAACTAAGTTTTACATACGCCCAGCAGACTATGGCTGCCGGAAGAAAGTTTTTTTTTTGTTTCAGAGAAAACTGTAAAACAAACTTTTTAAAAAGTCTTTAACAATATCTTAAAATTTTTTCAATGCATAAAATTCTTCAATGATTATCTATTCTTCAATTGAGTCTCAATTATTTATTTTGCATCAAATCTCATTTCAATGGCAGCTTTGCAGTAGACACTCGAACAAAAATTGTTATCGCACTTCAAAAAATCAGGTCTTTTAGAAAATTAAAGAATTAGCCAACCCCTTTGGAATATTTAAGCAACAAAAGCATAAAAAAGCACTAAAAATAAAGAAGCATAAAAACTTAGAGTTGTTCAACAACCAATAACCTAAAAATTCGAAAAAACGGGATTTTAAAACGTAGATATGCTTTAAAGTTATCTATTGAAGAGATATGCCTGTTGAAGAAATTATTCAGTAGCATTATATATTAGTTGTTGGAAAAATGTATTAACTTGAAAAATCTAGATATAGATTTGTTAACGCATGCTAATTGCGAATGTAATCAAGCTATTTTGCTGTTCAGTAGTGAAGTTTGCCTTCCTTCTAACAAAAGAAATGTGCTGAACTTAAAAAGAAATCAAAAGTCAAACCGCGAAGAAATGATTTGAGCCTGTAAAATTTTTAAAAATTTACATTAAAAAAACGAGTAAAATAATCATTACGATTTATATAAAAGTCTGAACTAAATCATCGACTCTTGAAAAGGTGCGTTTTCTGCGCCATTTTCTTTTTTGTATATAAATTATAACTTATTTTAATTTCAGCAAATGAAATTAAACTTAACTTGAAAAAATTTCAAAAATTAAATTGCAAAAATTGCATTTTGAGTGTAAGCAATTACTACAAATCCTGAAAAAAGCGAGAAAACCATATTGCAATATTTAATTATAGTATTTCGGTTCGGTTTCTTTCCTTGACACTTACACAAAAGCAACAGAGATAAGTTGTAATCAAATAACTCAGGGAAAATCAGAAAAAAAAATTGTTTCAACTTTCTTTCATCGAAAAAAAAAATTATATGAAATTTAAGTTGTGATATAGAGTTCTGATGATTGCATCTTTTATCATAAAAAAAAACAACTCATGTTTTTATACGATCAATTTCATGTTCAAAAGAAAAACTCATTCAAGCTCTTTTACTCGTTTCGTTTTTACTCGAAAAATTTTAATGTAGGTCAGTCAAAAACAGATGTCTTGAAATAGTACAAAGAGGTAATGAAGCGCTCATAAAAAGAAAGTTTAAACTTTATTTTATCACCCAACGAGTTTAGAACAGACTATTTTATGTCGTTTTGAAAATTCAAAAAATTTTCTGAAGAAAACATTACACTTACTCGATGAATGACAGTGCGCATCGCGCAAACAAGCTAACACACAAAGCAATCTCGTGGTAACTGAAAACGTAGTTCCGATTGGTTTTCCTAGGCCAAGAAGGGTTTCTGGGCCGAGGGAAAACTCAGAAAGTCGTTTCACTGCTGTCAATTCTCCTGGAAATATGAAAATTATTGCAATAACACACAATTTCAACAACGAATTTGGTGTCATGATTTCAGATCAAGAAAGGTCAGAGCGAAAAATTGAATGACACTCATTTCATAATTTATAAAATAGATTATTAGTTTCGATCACGAATTTGTAAACTTTCAGCTGTAGGTAATTATAAAAGAATGACAGGCCAAACCATCAAAGTGAAAAGATAATTATTTTAGTTATTACGTTGTTTGAAATATTATTGTTTCGATTAAAATTTTTTGAAATTTCATCTGTAGAATAAACAAATCAAATTATTTTTTTTAGAAACGAATCTTTCAACTTAATGCGCCGCCATTCAATCTTTTTCTTAACGGCATTCTCAAAAATTTATAGATCTTTTCTTGGGAGCTGTTCTCTCTTCATACAAACAGAAAATTCTATCGGTTCAAAAAATGAAGTACGCAAAAATTAATTAAGATTCAATTGAAATTTAATTTTAATTATTTTATAAAAGCTACAAACTTGAGCAAAACATGCCTCTTAATTAAGTTCAGGTATAAACACGGCGATTTAATTTATCATTTACAAACAAATCTATTTTAATCAATTTTACTTCTTCTTTCCGGGAAGTATCAGTTAGACATTATTTAACTATAGACGATTATAATTCAAACACGAATTGAAGACAGAAATTTCGAAAAAACTGGAACTTAATTTTTTTGACAAGTAAAATAGTGATGCTAATATTAACTGTTACTGATACTTTAATTAAGGTAGATATACCTTCGCATCTCGTATAGAAATGAATTCTGTTTTCAAATAGAATTTTCAATCGTTGTATAATAACCGTATTGTTAATCAAATTGTGAAACATTTGAAATTGATGCTCGCGAAAATACTTCACAAAGAAAAGCAGATAGATTGTATTTTACAAATAAATTATGCTGTTCACAAAGCATTTTTTACAAATCTGAAAAAAAAACAGTTTGATACAAACAATCTTTTGGCAAAACATCAGCTCAACGTCATATTCCTTCATAAATTTTTACCGTGTGATATACTAACATATTACTAAATTTAAATTAAATGCACCGAAGTTCTGGACATGAAGTGAATAAATTTACATCAAATGATTATAATCAAGTATGTTATTTAGTAATAAATAACCTGTTTCAGTTAATTTTCTATATCTGTACAAAACTTTGACCATTTTATCAATTTAACGCCACCAAAAGAATTATATTGTTTTTTCGAGTCATTAGAAAAATTGAATTCGAACTTAAACTCAAATCAAATGCACATTTTTACATGCAAAACACTTCTGAAAGCAACTATTCGAATTTTGAATCACTGTTCATTCTTTTGATTCAGTTTTTCTAATTATTACAAAAACTGTTTCCCATAACAATTATGAAAATATAAAATTTATATCAAATAGGCAAAATTCGAAAAGATAGCTAAATTTTCTATAACGAAATCCAAATTTTCAGTTCTGCAAAACCTTTTTTATAATTTCTGTTTAAATCATTGAATTTTGTATATATAATATACCACTATTTTGCGCAAGTTAAGTGACTGTTTTGATTTTCAGTTTTATGCACCCAAAAACTTAAGTTCAAACATTCGAAATAGTATTCAAATCGGACAAATTCAGAAAAGTTTAATTAAATTTCGCTGTTTTTAATTCCAAATCTTCAGCTTTGCATCCCACGAGCCAGAGCAGACTGCGTTTCCGTCAGAGTTCACCCCGAGACACGAGACTCTCGCTTCGTGTCCGGAGAGGATGCCGACTTTGAGGCTCTTTAGGGTATCCCAAATGAGCACATCCAAGTCACAGGCTACGAAGAGAAGTCGACCGCTCTTGGAAAAACTGACGGCACCTGTTTAAAAAGAAAAACTACATGTTCAAAAGCTTATGATTGACGTTCAAATTCAAATGATGATACTTGTGAACAAAGAAAACGAAGCCCCGAACATTCGGGTAAGAGCCTAATATATTATTATTATTATGATTATTATTATTACTATTATAGGCTGCTGTCAGGGCCGTCATTTGTTAAATAGAACGTTTTTAACACACTAACATGTTACCTATAAGAAAATAAACACGTTAGAAACAAAAATCAGTTTTAAAATCACTCATCGAGTTGTTTAAAGAGAAAAACCAGCTCTCCAGCCTTCTCGAGCGCTCAAAGAACTTCGGGGTTTTCCATAGGTGATTCCGAAAGTGTTCAAGCAGTTAAAATTAAAATAACCAAATTTGAGTCTATGAATATAGTTCAAGTTTCAGATTCAACTGACAGGACCTGAAACTATGCACTGAGGCGCAGCGGAGCTTTGCATCATTTGCACTCAGAGGCGAAGTTGTACTTCGCATACACAAGCAAAAATATGACCGTCTACAAAATTGACCGTCTACATGTTGCGTTTCCGTCAGAGTTCACCCCGAGACACGAGACTCTCGCTTCGTGTCCGGAGAGGATGCCGACTTTGAGGCTCTTTAGGGTATCCCAAATGAGCACATCCAAGTCACAGGCTACGAAGAGAAGTCGACCGCTCTTGGAAAAACTGACGGCACCTGTTTAAAAAGAAAAACTACATGTTCAAAAGCTTATGATTGACGTTCAAATTCAAATGATGATACTTGTGAACAAAGAAAACGAAGCCCCGAACATTCGGGTAAGAGCCTAATATATTATTATTATTATGATTATTATTATTACTATTATAGGCTGCTGTCAGGGCTGTCATTTGTTAAATAGAACGTTTTTAACACACTAACATGTTACCTATAAGAAAATAAACACGTTAGAAACAAAAATCAGTTTTAAAATCACTCATCGAGTTGTTTAAAGAGAAAAACCAGCTCTCCAGCCTTCTCGAGCGCTCAAAGAACTTCGGGGTTTTCCATAGGTGATTCCGAAAGTTGAGAAACACCGCTCCAATCTAGCATTGGAGGAGATAGCACTGGCCTAGTCGAGTAATTTTCTCGATGAAACATGAAAAAAGGACTGCATTCGAATTGGAAGCTCGAATTGTTAAAAACAATGTGTTAATAACATGTTAAATATAGGTCTGTTGATAATACCTTGTTATTAAAATGACAAACCTGGTTGCTGTGCAAGAAGCACAGATAGTTCCGACCAGAGTCATCTTCCAACAACGTATTTTTATTAAAAAAATGTTTAATTCACTTTTGTGTATTTTTTTTGGGAAAAAGCGTTATATATTAGCGTCCCAATAGAACAATTTGATGTAATTCAAAAAGAGAATTTTTTTTTGCAGCTCGTCATTCCGCTTGGAAAATAACACCTAAAACTCTAATAAGAAATTGGAGTATCAGAACTCAAACAGCGACAATGAGTCTTAGATTTGATACCTTTTTAAATCGCGCCAGTGCATTCTTTTGTTTACAATTATCTTGCACCAAGAAATTCAAGTTAAAATTTTGAAAATGTATGAAAAGTTAATACTGAGTAGGTCAAATTGAGCCCTAGTTCAAGCAAAGAAGCAAACAAAATTCACAAATGGCTAAGAAAAACCTACCAAAAGAGTCCGAAAATGTTCACCTGCCTTTTTATGATTTAAACCATAACCTGCTTTAAAATAATCACTATTCAGTGTTAACATTCAGGGGCAAATTTTGAAAATAATCTTCAAATTTCACGTTTTTTTTCAGATCGACGAAAGATATTTCACAAACTTTCCCAAAACACCACAAAAGACCCGATTTAAATAAAAATTACTGCGTTGCAGGCATAAATGAGCCCAAAATATCCAATTTGGGTACTTTTTTAAGGTTTTGACAGACATCGGTTTTCTGCTCGCAACTTAACATGTGCATATCTTACAAAAACCTTCTTATAGCCCAACAAGGTTTATTTTCAAATTTGAAAACGATTAAATGTTATAAGTGTGAAGAGCTACTTGCCTATTCCGTAATTGAGGTTAAGCTGTGTGTATGTTGCGACTGCTTGATCGGATCGGATGTCGTATAGTTTGCACGAGTTGTCATCTGAACCCGTGACGAATGCCCTGTCGCTCGGGAAAAATGCGATCGAGTTGATGTCTAAGTCGTGCCCTACAAAATGGAAAAACCTTATAAGCATATTTATTATCCAAACACAAAAATGTTCAAGCAGTTAAAATTAAAATAACCAAATTTGAGTCTATGAATATAGTTCAAGTTTCAGATTCAACTGACAGGACCTGAAACTTTATGCACTGAGGCGCAGCGGAGCTTTGCATCATTTGCACTCAGAGGCGAAGTTGTACTCCGCATACACAAGCAAAAAAATGACCGTCTACAAAATTTTTCAAGTGAAGCAAGCCAATAATGAGTCTACATAATTGCTAAGTGACGCAAGGCAATTATAACGCATTAGCGGTACCAATAAATGTTGTCATGATTAAGTTAAGATTTTAAGCATTTTATGCAATCCACAGAGGAGCATCAAAATTATATTTCCCTTGAAACTACTAAGAAATAGGTCACTAAGCCGATAAAAAATAAGCCGAAATCATCTGAGCAGAATAATGTTTCAGCGAAAAAAAACAAGAAAAAATACGACGTCGAGGTTAGTAAAATTAAAAATGGCCGAAAAACCGAAACACTAAAAGCAACCACAAGGTAATTTTCGTATAACAAGAAAAAACAATTCTGTGATGTGGCAACTAAGCCGAAAAATACATGCAGACTAATAATAAGTCGACAATTGTTTTTGAAACGGAATATTCAGATCCTGTCAGATTCGAACCCAAGCCCTTTCCGTCCCAGGCATTATCGCTACCTCAGACCAAGTATGTCGGAGACGCGAATAAATTTGACTTCATTATAAACTGAACCTGAAGTTACCATATCATATTTTGAGCATTCTTTGAACAAGTTATTTACGGGGAAAAAGTCCAACACCCGATTGCAAAACCCTTACTTATCGCAAGGGTAAACATAGCCAACTGACAAATGGAAAAGAGTAATGAACGCAATGAAACTGAAACAAACTATGACTTGTTTTTTTTTCAAAAATCTTCAACTTTTGAATTTCGAAGAAAAAATAGAAGGCCTTAAAGCTCTTTGAATTTGTAAAACAATTTATAATGGACACTTTTTGCTACAATTAAAATAATTTGAGAAAAAGGGATCAATAGACAAAAAACGTTTATTTCACTGTCCTATCTGACAATAAATGTCCATTTTCGAAATTAGAAATCAATCACGTTTTTCGTTACCTTTACATTTTTACTGTTCGATAGTGGATTTGCCTTCCTTCTAACAATGGAAATGCACTGCACTTGAAGCGAAATCACAAGTAAAACCGCGAAAAATCAAAACTGAGCGTGAGCAAATTTTAAGACATTTTCCTGAAAAAAAAAGCAAGACCTATATAAGAGTACATACTACGTTCATTACTCTTAAAAACCCTAGAAATTTAACATTTTAAGTTGTTTTGAATTTCAAACATAGCCAACAGAAAGTTGGAATGGAATCAACGACAGCAAGGGAAAAAAGATAGTGACTTGAACATAATTTTCTTTCCTTTTAAGAAACTTATTTTAAAGGACTTTTGAAAAAAATCTAGGAAATCGAAAAAAAAAGTTTTTCAACATTTTTGAACATTCAAATTTGAAAAAGATATATTACGTTGAAGCTCTTTGAATTTCAAATACTGTTTATGAATGTGAATTTCTTCATAAAGTTATTCAATTTAGCAAAAAAAAACTGGATCAATTGATAATTTTTAATATTCAGCTGAGAATTAAGAAAATTGAAGTCCATTCTTGAAACTAGAAGTCATTCACGTTTTCGGGACCTTTTCACTTTTATTGTGCAATAGTGCAATTTGAATTGATTTTTGATTTTAATTAATGAAAAAAGTTAGCTTAAAAAATCATAAGTCAAACCGCGAAAAACCAAATTTAATCGTCAACAAATTCAAATTTTTTTATTCTGACTAAAATTCTTCACTTCGTTCGTTGACAACTAAAAAATGAATTGAACAACTTTAAAAAAAAATTGCAATTAATCGAAAAAAAAAAACAAATACTTTGACACATAATTAAATTAATTTTACAATTATCAAGCTCGGATACAATTCTCTTGCTTTAAGAAATAAAATAAGATGGTACACTAAATGAAAAAGCGAGAAAAAACGTTTCCTCGACAAATTCTGTACAAGAAGAAAAATCTAAGGCCCAAATTGTTTACAGGAGGAAAAGTCTAGTGCCCAACTTCATCAAACAATCCAATCGCAAGTGTAACAAGGTCTGCATGTTTTTTTTGTTTCAAATTGCGTCATTTTTGTTAGTAGCGCAATGAGAGGAGCAGAAAAAGGTCTAGACTTTCGATATTAACAGTATATTATGTATATTTGACAGCAATTTTCCTCATAAAAATTTAAAAATAATCATAAAAAATCAAAGACAAACTTTCAAATTTTCAATCTTTTTAATTTTTTATTTTTCAAACTTTTTTTCCAAAAGCGCTAAAAAAACTTCGAAAACTTAATTTACTGGGTTGAAATAAATTTTTGCTGCTTAAATTGATTACTAAGACTACTATTTTAAGCTTATAAGTCTATTATACTAGCTCGGAATTAGAATAAATATCAAAATTATCGAAACGGTATTTCTCAATCACGACTGAAAGGTTTTTAATGATATATCACTGGACCCATTCCGATGACTATTTGTGGTAACTGACTTTGCATGGAAAACAAAAAGAAAAACAAACTAAGTTCTTCACCATTTTCAATGGTCGAAACAAAAATCTCCAACTTTGTTCATATTCTTAGACAGTATCAAACGCAAGTCAAACTTTTAAAAAAAACATTAGTTGTGATGCTTCTGTTTTTTTTAAAGGTTGACTTGATTGCGTTTGATACTGTCTAAGAATATGAACAACGTTGGCGATTTATGTTCCGACCATTGAAAATGGCGAAGAACTTAGTTATAATTGACTTTTTTAATTAGCTGTGATACTTGGATGTAGAAAGTATACCTGTGAAAGTCTGCTTAGCTACTTTGTCCCTGACGTCCCACAGTTTGGCGGTGCGGTCACAAGAGCCAGACACGAACACTGTGTTGTCACTGGACCCTGCCAGACCCATCACCTCCGCCGTGTGACCTACAGCCGCCATGAAACAACAACAAAATGACAAATTATAAAAACTTGATATCAACTACGTCTTCTTTTAATAATTATGCTTTGCGATTATTTTACGCCGAAATTGAAAAGACGCTGAAGGCCAGCTCGAGCTTTTTATTTGTAATTGTTGGAAAAATGGTTTGAAAAAACGGAGCACCAAATTAAAAGTCTATTTTAAAACTTAATCAAAAAGAAAGACTGATCAAAACGAATACTATCCACCTTAATCCTAAAAAATCCGCCTCAAATTACTTCTATATTTCTTCGACAGGATATTACACTGCAGTGATGTTTTAGAATGAGTGTATGATGATGTTGGTAATTATCCTGTTGTTAGTATAAGTCCTGTGTTTGTTGTTGGGAATAAATTGTGACTTATCCCAGAAATTTTACGTTCCGTCCAAAACGTTGTTTTCTGCAAGTGTGAACTACAATCTTGAACTACAACTTCTTAGCATAAATTTTTAACAAATCAGGGTAGTATATTTATAGAGGACTTTTACAGGAATTTTAGTAAAAAACTAACCCAATGCTCGAGACAGTGTCTAATCTACCTTCGCTAGATGTCCGTCCGAAATTCTGAATTATAACTACCGAGTATATATTTGGTAGCTCCGTAACTTGGTGGTAAACCATTCAGGGCGTTTTCAGGGGCATTTTTTATGGAATTTTACTAAAAAAGAACCCAAGGTTCCTGATTTTATCTAACTCTCCCCCACATGGTTGGTTCTGCATTGAGTGGGACCGGGGGTTAAAATAGTGTCTAATGTACCTTCGTAGGATGTGAGCTTAGTCCCACTGTTTGAGTCCCACAGGGCGGAGGAGTTGTCGCCCGAGCTGCAGAGCAGCTGGGTGTCGTCTATGTATCGGATGGAAGAAATGAAACCTAGCAACATAAAAAATAAACACGTCACACTAATGCTCACTTTCTAACAAGTTTCTTTTCAAACAATGAATATCTCAGAAAAGCGGAGCGCTTCATCTGTTGTTTTTCAACGTATCCGACAGCAGCTTCTGACATCACTCAATCGATCTTTAATTGATATAAGCACCATATCTTTGAACAAAATTACCTGTTAATGTTGGTTCGTTTTTGAATATAGAACAATAGGAGATTCGAAAAAAAATAGTTCAAAAACGCATCAAACAAAAACAAATAAATATGAATATTGCACATAAAACATGGGTGATCAGCAGATGCGCAATGAGCCCAGAATGATCCGATCACTTTTACCCTATAAAAAGACAGTTAGAAAGATAGCTTTTCATTTCCCTCACAACTGGCCTTTTTAATCAGACCACCTTTTTGCTCACGTTTATCAATTAAAACTAGGATAAACTTGGTACGAAAAGCAAACATCAAACTGCAAATATCTCTGCTCATTACAATTCTAACGCTTATTTTTGATTGACAAACTTAACAAATCGATACCTTGCTTGTAAATTTGAGCGGTAAGGCAAGGTTTTAAAGCAACAAAATGTTAACTCGATTCATCTTACTCTGGGCTGTTTTGCTATCTTATCAAGCTACGCTCTGTCATATTATTTTCTTACCAATTAAGAGTAAAAATGAGAAAAATTACCAAGATTCTGACTTTCGCCCGAATTCACAGGGCAAAACGGGAGAATTCATCAACGACAAAAACGGGAAACTATTTCCAACTACATTTCTTCAGGACTTTTTGGGCGGATTTGGAGCACCCATCGACTATAGATCTCGGAGAAACGAAGTTAAAACAGTTAAAAAGCGTAGAAACACTGGAAAATTCCAAGTATTGTGTCTTATGGACAGCAGCGGCTATTCGCTTTACGATTTATTGAGGTGCATTGACACTAACGAGTTTGAAAATGATGAAAAATTAAAAACGACCCCAAAACTCAATTAATTTTGATATTTTGTTTTTCAAAGTGTTATTTGAGCCTTCTTTAGAATAAAAATTTATTTCTGATTTGCTTTCTAACTTGTTGATATGCTTCGTAAGTACGTCAAAAAATGCTGCACGTGCCACTTAGCCAACAACAACATATCTTACGAATATTCTTCAGAAAAAAATAGCCTTTTTACCCTCCAGCTGATAATTTTAATAGAAACTGAAAACAAAAAATTTTAGGAAGATAGGAACGTTTGCCCCTCAAAAGTTTGCAAAACAAACTAGCGTTTAACGCACCTTCGGTGCTTCGAAATTTTTCGAAAACTCATAAAAAACTGCACATATTGGAAACAACATCTGCTAACTTTTAGTATACTCTGACTGCACCCAATTACAGGGTTGGTAATTTCAAAATTTTTTAATTCCCATTTTGAAAAAAAAACCATAAAAGCGTCATCTCAAAAACTTAATGGAGGCACTTAGCACAGTGGTAAGGCGTTCACTTTGAAATCGTCAGATCGTGTATTCGATCCCACGCCATGGCAATGATAGTGTGTGAGGACAAGCTCTCACTTGACCTCCAGCTTCAGGTCTACCACAACCTGACCAAAATTGGCTGCAATAGTGGTACCACGTAAAAGTTCCAGACGCAGAAAAAAACGGCCTTGAGTCTCAAAAAACAGCTTCGCTCAGCAAAAATAACAGTCTGGAATGTGGGGAGATAATACAAATGGACTATCCTCGACAGGACTGTTAAGGCCTACTGATAGCTCCTCTGCGATTCGCAGGAATTACAATTATTATTATGATTATTAATATTATTATTATTATTAATGGGCCTCTGGAGAATCGGAGGCCAGATTTGCAAACACTGAGATTCCCTGAGAGCACCCTACTACGCTGAAAATAAGTTTGTGTCTTCATCAAGTTGGTAGTTTCAAACTTTGTGAATTTCTTTGTAGATAAGTTTGAGAAATTTTGAAAAAATCAAAAAAAAACATCACATCTCGGAAACTAAAAGAATTTGAGCAGTCGCAAGATTTGTAACTCCTGAGAGTACCCTGACAGCACTCAACTACAAAGTTAAGAATTTCAAAGATTGAAAAAATAATTAATTTAAGTTTTCTGAAAGTTTTTCGAAAAAAATCACAAAATTGTCATATCTCGACAGCACCCATCTACAGGGTTGCGAAATTCAAATTTTGAAAAATAATCTATTTAATTTGTCTAAAAAATTTTTGATAAAATCACAAAAAACGTCATATCTCGAAAACTAGAAGGATTTGAGCAGCCATATTTGGAGGCAGGATTCGCAATCCTTGAGGGTACTCTGACAGGACCCAACTACAGGGTTGGAACTTTCAAATTTTGCAAAGAAAAAATTAATATAAGTTATTCAATAATTTTTTCAAAAAATCACAACAACGTCATATCTCGAAAACTACAAGGATTCGAACAGACATATTTGGAGGTAAGATTTGCAACTCCTTAGAGTACCCTGACAGAACCCATCTACATTGTTGCAAATTTCGAAAAAAAATTATTTTAATTTTTCTAAAAATTTTGAAAAAATCACAAAAAACGTCATATCTCGAAAACTACAAGGATTTGAGCAGTCATATTTGGAAGTAAGATTCGTAATCCTTGATAAAACTCTGATAGTACCCAACTTCAGGGTTGGGAACTTCACGTTTTGTATATTACTTTCAAACTTGAGTTTTCTAAAAAAAAATTTGAAAAAAAATCACGAAAATCGTCTTATCTCGTTAACTAAAAGTATTTGGGCATTCAAAATTTGAGGCCAAATTCGCAACCTCTTGCGGAATCCGGACAACATCCCAATATTGGGTTGCTTATTTTAAACTCGGTGAAATAACCACTTAAATCAAACTGGAAAATCGAAAAAAGTCTTAAACATTGCAATATACGATATAGCTTAAACGTGCAAAAATTATTTCGTTAAGCATGCAAAAATAATACGCTGAAAAAGCTTAAGCATGGCGAGATAGTGAAGCCCGCATTTAAATATATAATAGATAATAGATAACAAAATTCTCCAGACGCTGAAATGAGTAAAAAGAAAATACTTATGAACACATCTGAAGTTTTTCACAAAATCTTATTGGAACAGTAAAAAACCTTTCTTTGTGGTGTTATTATTTAGAACGTATTATGGAAAAAGTTGGCTGTTTGATATACATAATATAATAGATTAGCGAAAATCCAAAAAAAATGGACAAGTAATGCAATTTACGGAAACGTTACAAAACATTGATAGCAGAACCTTTTCAATTCTAATTTAACTGTTAAGTTGAATTTCTTGATCTGGCAAAAAAAATTCCTTAAACGCTTGTCAGAGCTGAAAATTCAAAAAAAATGATATTTTTTTCTCGGGAAATTTTCTTATATTAAAAAAGTGAATTCATTACTGTATTATTTACAGATATTGAGCTACAAAACAGCAACAGGCAGTTTTCAACTTTTTTCTTCTCGTAAATAACTAGAAAATTGCCTAAACAAATAACCATTATGTCAACACTGAACCGTTTTCAGAAATGATTGATTGATGTTTCGAAACCTCCCATTGACCAATCACGACATAAAAGAGGTCAACATCATAAAGCACTTGACCTCTTTTATCTCCTGATTTGCCTTTATGTAGTTCTATGTCCAGATTTACCTGAAAAACACATCCGAACACCAATTTATGCCGCAATTTCAATTGTTCCGATAAATCCATTGGATTCCAGGATAAATCCAATAACGTGTGAATAACTTGGATTGAATCCAATCCAATAACAGACGGGAAAAAAGCCAGAAAAACAAAAAAATAGTTTAACACTAAGCCAAACTATATCAAGAACAAGAAGAAAACCGATCAAATTTCATGAACCAATTTTGAAAAATATTAAGTAAATCGCACAAAAAAAATTATTTTTGATCATAAAATAAAAGACAAGAAAAAAAACAATTACTTTAAAAAGCAAAATTTCCTACTACAAGAGAAATCAGATGATTACTTTTCTAAAATTGGTCTGAATAAAAAAACCACCCTCGAAAGTATGGACAATAAGGAATTGTTCGTCGTTAAAAAATGTTGCGTTTTCTATAGGAAACAATATCATGGTTTGTAATATAATTCCAATCCGTTAAATTTGCTTAAAATCACAATTGGTTATTGTGTAACCTTCCTGTGAACAAATATCTTGGAAAGCTTCAAAATATTTACAAGAAAAGTACTAAAATTAATTCTGGTAGCAAATTTGGGTAAGCCGAGCTATCAATCTCAGCAGTCAGTTAAACGTCCCACATCTGGTAAATGAAACATAGCCAACAGACAGTTGAAAAAGAGTAAATGAAGGCACTGAAACAGAAAAAGGACTTGCATTTTTCAAACAAAAATTATATGGCCTTAAAGCTTTTTGATTTTAAAGAGCAATTGTACCTTTTTTGATAAAATTAAATTAATTTGAGAAAACCGATAACTAGGAAAATTTTTTAATCCGGTGGCAAATCAAATCTAAGTTCGATTTTCGAAACTAGAAATCAACCGTTTTTTCGTGCCATTTCAGCTTTCATAATTGGAGAGTTAATTTTGCCTAAAGTGCACATATAACTAAGGGCATTTATATGTGCGTTTATAAGTATGAATGGACTTCTTTTGTTATAGAGAATTTTACAACTTTTCCTTACAAAAAATCATCGCGACCTATATAAGAGTCTGAACTACGTTCATTGAATTCTAAGAAACTTTAAAAAAAGTTCACTGTGCCCTAATGTAATGAAACTTTTGACAAATTAGTTGCCAAACATTTAGTATTTACAGTTCGAACGCTCCTCATTCAAGACCAACAACAAATTACTAACTGACTAACTGCAATTCAATTCTTTTACCCTTAATTCGAATAGTAACTTGACAATTGTGAGCACGAACATGTTAACTCGACTATACTTGCTCTGTGGCTATTTGTTTTCTTGTCAAATTACGTTTTGCCGAATCATTATCACAACTGCT